CTTAAGGCAGAGATTTTCGGGAGACAGCTCCGGATTCTCAAGGCCAAAGCGCAATTAACTTCGTCACCTCAGTTTGGGGTCAAAAGGTTTTGACAGGTGGAGACAATCGTGTACAGAAAACTTGTAAAGTAAGTGATGTAGACTCTTGGTCTGCGTCTGTTGACAGTGAATCGCTGTGCAACAAGGGAAAATATTGTTCGGGTGTAGACTAAATATCGACTTTCTCTGACCCCTAACCGTCTACTTATCTACAACGAGAAAAAATTAAACTTGATAAGTTCTGCAGTGGTACATTAATGCAACCCTGTATTTAAACTCCTGTGCTGATTGCGCAATCGAGATTTCCTAGCAAGTAGCCTTGAAGCCTGTTCACGGGAGATAAATACTTATTATATAATGCACATTATTAAATAATTGTTGTAGTTGGACATATAAAGAGAATCCAACCATACGCTGTTTATTCAGAGGAAAGACCACAATTTAACAACTGTCGTGCAAGTCATCCCACCTTGGTAAGAAAACTACGGCTTTATGTACTAGAAAACCTAACCATAACTATTTAAATAAACCGGTTAGGGTTGGAAAAAAGTTTCAGTTAAAAAAAAAACGTGTTGCTGCATAAAAGTGCAGTTGTCACATTTGTTAACGATGTAACTTTTTTTTAAATCTGGGCCACCAGTAAGCTACGTAACGCTTATCGCCGTGGTTTTTAATAACTGAACCCTTTTTTAACGTTACGAAACGCCTTCTTCCACAAGGAATAATACTACGTGGAGTTCAGGTCCTCACGGGTGCTTCCCTGGTCGTTCACTAATAGTATGTAGCCTAGAGTTTGTGCCTGAGGTTCTTCTTGTTTACATTTTCGAAACCCCTTTTCATTTCGTGATTTAACTGAAAAACACCCTACCTACAAACCCACAAAAAAAAAACCCCAAAGAAATAGTGCCATAAAAGAGGGAAAGGAATGAGCTTTATCTTCAGTGAAGTGTGCGTGCTGTTTGACCAGCAGTGAAGAAACATTTTATTTGACCTGGGGCGGTCCGGTTCGGCTCCTCCTATCTGATTCGTGGGGCCGGGGGGGGGACCCCTCGTGTTTAAAAACAGCGTCGAAGTCAGAAACCTCTTCAGAGGAAACACCCGATCTGTGGGAGTGACCACAATCCGACAAGTAACGCTGTTTTTGATATTTATATCTGAGACGGGTTGAAATGATTTAAAACTACTTTTGGTATGTAATGGAAATACGAATTTACCGTTGTCGGTCAAAACGCGGTGTTGCCAATTTGTGTCAAAATTACTCAGAAACAATGTCTGGCAGTGATGAACAGTTTACGCACGTCTGCTGTTTAACGGATGGAAAACTTCAGTTCGTTTTAAACCTTTCTTGAGAGCGCTTCAGAAATTGCTGATAAGTTAGCCGAAAAGTGACATTTTAAAATGTTATGTTTAGGTCATTTAAGGGGTGGTGTTTTTTTTTAACGTTTCCATCCAGTCGTGTTTCTTTCAAGGAGATGACACGACACTCTTTTGCCTTATTCTTATTATACTGTGAATTTGTGTGGCGCCTTTACTCTACTAGTGACACAGGGCAACCTAATGCACAGAAGCAGACGTGGGAAAAGTGCTTTTAACAAACTGTATTTTATTTCCAATCAGTGCAGTGTGATCTGTAAGGGGGTGAACAGCAGGGGACTTGGTTTAACTTCTCCCTGTGATCGGCGCCTCTCACAGCCCAGTGTTCCCGATTGCTGTACTGGGATGTTGGTTTGGGACTTCAGATCCAGCTTCTGGTCAACCAACACCACCTCCAGGCGCAACCTGGTTTTCCTTGGAGGCCTCCCATCCGAGTACAGAACTTCCAAGGAAAATCCGGTCTGCTGTAAGGGGGCTTGGGTGGCTCTCTGCCCTTCTGGACCAGACTTCCCAGGCCAATGCCCAAGCAGGGAAAAGGAGGACAGACACTGTGCTGCTGTGGGTGGTGTGATCCTTCAGTAGAGAAGTCAAACCAAGGTCCTGGCTTCTTCGTCTTTGAAGATCCCAGCTTAGTGTTTGAAAAGGGAAGGTTTTTAACCCTCGTGTGTTGGTCAGACTCCACTCTGGGCTTGAGCACTTCTCCGCCAGATTTGTAGGCAGGCTTCTTGGCTCATCAAGGATGCTGAACTTCAGCGATGCAGCCATCCTATGTACATAAAATATTTTGGGATCGTTTAAGATGGGAAGCTGTGTATAAATATAAATGTGATTCATTGTATTTCAATATCTTAGCGGAAATGACGGTGCACACGTGATCGCAACGCCGTGAAAGTGAGAACCTTTGTTAAACGGCAGCTCTGTCCCCCTCCAGCACGTCTGGGGCACCCATCGGCAGGCCACGTCGAACCCTTGTCCCGGAGCCGGCTCGCAGAGACATGCGGGGTCTCTGGGCCCTGCTGCTCACCGCTCTGCCAGCCCTGCAGGGGGCGGCGGCCGTGGCGGCCCAGGAGCGCAATTCTTCGCGGCTCTGCCAGCCCCCGCCGCGCTGGGAGGTCAGCGGTCGGGCCCCCATGGAGGAGCTGCGGGGCCGGGTGGCGGTGGTGGCGCTGCTGAAAGCCAGCTGACAGTTCTGTCTGACGCAGGCCTCCCGGTAAGAGTGAAGGCGGGCCTCCTGTGTGCTCAGCGTAGCCGTTTTTGAACTTGTCTGCAAACTTGACGTTAGAGGAATTCTGAAGTGATTGGATTTGTATGTAGGCCTTTTTGGGATTTTCGGTGACCTTCTGTTGGCTGTTTACTAGCCCTCTCTAAGAAAAGAGACCACACAAGTCAACCCACTCTCGGTTTGTCTTGCTTTGGGGAGTTCTCAAAATAAGGGCGGTACTCCAGACTGCAGGATGCATACAGCGTGCGTGACTGGTAAGGACCAGGGCTACTCAACCTTCCTGATTGCAGCCTTTCCAATTCACTCTTCCAGAATTTTGCTGCGACCAGCCCCCGGATTAACTGCTAACGAGCAGGATCAATACGGCAATTGTGGAGCGGGGTGTATGGAATGGAATCTGTTTGGAAGGGCTTGCCTGTGGAGTTAGCCCAGAGTTGGGCAGTGAGCGCATGTCCGACACCAGTTGGCTATACCTGCTAACGCACTGTGTGTCCTGTGTCTGTCCAGCTTGGGAGACCTGCGGACCCGGCTATCCCGCAGTGGGATGACGGACGTTGGGTTCCTCATAGTGAATGAGAGGGAGCCCGTGTCCAGAGCCATGTTTTGGGAGCTGAAGAGGAGAGCACCAGAGGGGATCCCCGTCTACCAGCAAGGCCTCTTCCAGAGCGATGTCTGGGAGATCCTGGAGGGGGAAAAGGATGACTTTCTGATATACGACAGGTACATCCCTCAGGGCTCGGAGTCATGGGCAGTGATACCATAGTGGGTGTTAGGTCAGTGTACATCACGTGGCGATTATTCATTTATTTACAGTCATCTTTACAGACGGGTGCTTTATTAAATAACTTCGCTCTAAGGCACAACAGCAATGTCATCACCTGGGCTTCAAACCCACAACCTTTCATTTAGAGGTTCAGAGCTCTAACCACTGTTCCACTGCTGCCCAAAGCAGCTGCTGTGTCAGCCTGGCTTATTCAAATAAGTCGTTTTGTAACTCACGTTTGCTATTGGTATCATTGCAAACTAACAATGCAGCATGTTACAAGAAGCCTAGACTTCTAAAGGAAATGTAATCATGCTATAATGTGTGCTGCAAGAATGCTTTGGTTTATGTATAACACTGCATGGGTGCAGCAGGCTATCTGAAACCATGAGACTTTTTTTTTTCCCTGAAATAAAATGCAAAGACTGTATACAGTGGTTACTGTTTTTTTTTAAACAGATGTGGGCTCTTGACCTTCCACATTGTCCTGCCGTACAGCTTCCTTCATTACCCCTACGTTGAGGCTGCAATCAGAGCCACCTACCTCAGGGACATCTGTGGGAACTGCACAGTGAGTACAGTGCTGCAGCCCAGGGATACCGATTGTGGTTTTACTGCCATGACTGCAGGATTCACACAGTTCAAGTGGCAAGTGCACAGATCAGCAGACTGATCTAGAGTTCGAAATAAAATAGGTAACTTATTAAATGTGTGCAACATTTGTGTCCTGCCCTCTCTAAAAAGGCCTTTTGCGTGTTTTATCATTGCACTACAGCATATTATGTAAAATCTCCTCTGAACTTAGAAATTCAGAAAGCACCCAATAATAACAGATGAAGAAACAGTAATCTGCTAAATTTAGTTCTTGCTTGCTTTAGTGTGTAGTACATATATTTGATTGCAAATGATCTACTTATAATGTCAAGTTAATTGAAATACCAACGGACTTTCAAAGCACTGCCCTACATTTTCAATAACTGCTGTAAAAGTGTTTTCTAATGCTTGTTTTTGCAGTAGTAGTAAGAAATCTTATCCCTTTAGCTAGACATTTGGACAGGGGCTCTGACTTGAGATGCATGAAAGAGCAAAAAGCTCAGGGTTCAAGCATGAACTGAAGACATATAAATCTTATGTATTGTTTTGTCAGCAATATGTGAGAGAGAATTTGACTAAGGCCTTGCATGCATTTGTTCCAAGTTTGCATATTCTCCCTATTTTCTTATGGGTTTTCTATGAGAATTATAGTTTCCTCCATTAGTCCAATAACATGCTGTTCGGGCTGCTTGGCATTTCTAAGTAGTGTGTCTGATTGTCTGTTAAAGTTTCTCAATCCAGGATGTAGCCTGTTTCAGCCCTGTACCCCGTTTCAGCTGGATTAGGTTAGCGATAAGTCTCCATAAGTGGTTATTAAATTAATTTCCCGCGCTAACACTAAAAAAAAACGTTTTTTATTAAGTGAAAAATGAATTATGGCATCAATTGCAAAGCCCTGTGTGGAGGTGGATATGTTGATCTTTCAACACAAAGCTTGATGCTCTAATTGAGTAACTTAGTGTTATTTGATGGGAATGAGCACAGATGGGCTCAGTGGCCTGTCCCTCCGATAATGCTTTCTCTTGTTCTCATGCTTCATTGTTTTTGATGGTTCTCGTTGCAGCTGGATTCAAGTGACAACCAAGGACTGAATGCCTCTCAGATTCCTGAGAGAAAAGAGAACGTCACGGACGCCGAGTGCTTAGACGACCACGAGCAGCACCAAGGGGAGCAGAGCAACGGCCCCCAGCCATCACGCCACAGCCAGGCCCATCACAGTGGGCACCGCCTGGTACACGGTCCCTGCCGTGACAAAGGCCGGAAGAGACCACCCTCTCCGCAGAACAGCACCCTCTCCGCTCGCCAGCATGCACACTCCCCCCACACCATCCACAGTCACCACGATCTCCACCAGCACTGAGCAGGCTGTGACCGCCCACCTCTTTTGACCTGTGGGTGCCAGCAGTCTGGCCACACTGGAAACAAGGGCGGAACTTCAAAGGCAGTGCACCTTCACAGCTACTGCCTGTTCTCTCTGTGCCCTGCTGTGCATTTATAGAGGGTATTGCTAGACATTGCTCAGTGAGATTTGCATTCTTGACATTATACTATGAAGAGTGCTTACCCACGTTCTTCTGTAAATGCATGTAATTAAGAGTCTGGTAATAGCATGCCTCTATATGTATTCAACAGCGAATATCCCATGTGCATTCATTACTGTCTTGAGTCCAAGCTGATCTCTTTCAGAGCCTGTTCGGAAGCTTCTTTTGTGCTGTACGAATCTTGCTTAGTGGTTATTATTGCATAAATGTTTGAATGCATCCCTGGTAACAAAATTACAGTGTAGCCCTGCACCAGCACAAAGTGACTGATCAGTCAAATCTTTATCAAGGTAACATTTAAGGGGTTTTTTTGCAAACTAAAGACCAGGGCTGATTACAACAAATAGCACCACAACTTTCAATTTGTTTGTTACAGATGCTTCCTTCATGGTCATTTTGCTAAATGGTGCATAAACATTCACCTACTACATCTGTTTGTCTCATAGGAAACAACTGGGTAGTGTTGTTCTCAGGCATACATTCCATGATTGACAGATGATGCTTAATAAGAATAGATGGTTGTAAAATGTTTCATGAATCACAAACCAGGGTCTGAAGTTGCACTGATGGGGTTTGAGTTACTGATCTGCAGATATCTGATTTTAATTCTGAGCCAGTGCTTTCCAGTTCAAAGTTGGATCATGTTGACTGGTTCGATGCCGAAGCCTGTAAGTCTTCTAAATTGAAGCTGACCTATCTCCCTGATCTTGCCCTCGTTCAGTCCCAAGATATTAGTGATTTTTTGTCCCCACCTGTTTGGTCCCTTCCAGTTATCTGCTCCACTGCATTTAATGAAATCTTCAGCTCAAACCACAGAGGGGTGGCTACAGACGGATGATGTGCAGAGGAGAAAGTGAGGAAGGAAATCAACTACACAGCTTTATGAAAATCACGTTTCATATTGATATTATCATCAATCTGGGGGCTAAAGGTCAGGCTGATTTCAAAAGGAATGATCTTGGTTCTTAACTTCATTATAAATGTCTTACCCGAGTTTGTGCTTTTGGTTATTTTTTTCAATCGGGTGAATGGTACACGGATCTGCTCGAGTTCTATGGATATTTTTAAATTCAGGTGCCTTCTTAAAAAGTTTCTTTGGTAAAGCACACAGATACACATTCTTGCTTAAAGGCGGAATACTATTTGTAAGACATCTTTTCAAGGTGTCGTGATAAATAGATTAGTATGGGTGACTCTTGTTACACGAAACGTTCTAACAAAGATTCTGACACTACAGCTCTGTGTTGCTTGCACACTTGCTTTTCAGGGTCATCGAAGCTGAAGGTTACATTGCAGTTATCTTCTAAAAAGTGTCCTTGATCAATCTGTTTCTGCAACTTTAAAGCTCAAAGCAGGACACCTGTCCGTTCCAGGGCACACCAGCACAATCTAGAGACACTAGCTTCCCCTCCAGCATGTTTTTTGGGAGGAAACTGCAGCATGCAGATAAAGCCAGGACAGCATGCAGACTCCACACAGAAGGTTTCCAGCTGGGAGTTGCACCCAGAATAGCTGTGTTAATATTACAGCTGTGAATACAAGGAGTTGTTTGGTTGGCTGGTGCCATTGGATGGTCAGCTCTTTCATTTTTCATGAAGTGGTATTGTAATCTGTGTCACTGGTGCAAGATGAAGTGTTTTTGTATGGACCACGTTTTCCTAGACTGAAATTTTCCTATGGTTACATACACAGATTAGCTATTGATGCAGTTACTTTTGCATTATATACCGTTTATGTGTTTGTGCACTGAATACTGTCTTAAATCATTTACATTGCTCACTAGAAATGCGAGAGAGTAGCCTCATGTACTGTTTTTTTTTTTAAAAAAAAAACCTTAAACCACTTTTCCACAATATACCTCCGCACAAGATCTAACTGCATGTGGTTGCTGCGGTTTGGGCTGACTACCGTTTTGACAGAAGGATGTTTCACGTTATGAATACATCATTACAAATGAAGCTGAACCTTCCCAGAAAAAGGAAAAAAAAATGTTCTCAACTAAGAAAAACGTATTGCAACAATAAACGTTTTGATTGCGTTAACTGGTCTGGGCTGAGCGATTGTTCCATCCCATCTCTTTCTGTTCTGCTGTTCGTTTTTCGTGGTTTTAAACTGTCGCCAGGTCAAACATGTGTGCCCGGGTGGGGGGAATGTCATATGTCTGACACATGAGAAGATAATATGATAAAACGTTAGCGCCTCCCGTCGTCAGATGGCACTAGAGCGTCGTTTGTGTCAAAGACCAGTACTGTACTTCATGTATGCGCTAGGCTTGGCTGATACAGGACTGGTTGAAAACGCCGGTGGCTTGATCTGAGATTTTTCTCCACTCGCTTTGCCGAATTCGTCAACGACAGCACTTGCAGTTGAATTTTTATCGCTCCAAGTAAGAAGGAAATTTCGCGTTCTAGCTAGTTCCTATGTGTATGGTTTGGGCAAAACCAGCGTTTTGCCTTAGAAGAATCGAAGTCATTCATGAAACTTGTGTTTTTAATTATGTAATAACGCAGAGAACTTGGTAAAAGGGGGGAATCCACATACTGGTTGTATTTTAAGATATCTGCGATTTAATGGAAATCCGTAGAAAAAAAATAATTTGATCGTGCAGTATATGATTATCATGTAAAGAGTGCAGTAGCCTCAATTTGAGTTCATTTGTTGCTGGAGAATTTTTCGATACCTACGCGTGTGTGATGCAAGAACGATTCGTGCTCTGTGCCGAAAACGAGTAACTATCTGAACGCGCGTTTCAACTTCTTGTGTCATTAATCCAGTCTTTGCATTTTGTGAACGAAATGAACATACTATAGTTACATTACGTGTTTTCCCAACAGTAAAACTTCGTGAACAAAGATAGTGACAAGTTTTTGTCAATTCAAAAAACACAGGAGTGGAGTGCAGGCGGGGCGTTTTCTGCACAATGTATCTCCTCTGCAGTTGGCCGTCCTGCGCTGTGATTAATTCACTTTTCACCTATAGACAGGACTGAATGGCTTCCGCCTGGCAGAGGATACAGCGATATTACGACTGGGCTTTGGAGAATGGAGGTAAGGTGGACATAGTGAACTGTTGAAAACGCACCGAAGAGTTTCTTGTGCACAGTAATCGCAAAGAGTCCTGCGGAGTTTGCCGGTGTGACACCCAGCCCACTCCCCCTCAGGTGCTATCTGGGTTTGAAACGTTGTTACTCCGGCCATGGTGGTGCTTTTAATGTGAACTGTTCTGAGGCGTGTTGGGTGAAATGTGAGATGTCGCTGTTTTATTTTTTTCCCTGGACCCTTCACTCTCTGAGTTAAAAACTACTGTACTGTACAACACAGCACTCATCCATCCCATGCCAGGTACACCAGGGGGTGCCATCTACCCTGAATTAGAAAAAAAGGAAACCACATTCAAACAAGTAGTATTTTTTTTTTTTTTTTAGAAAAATCTATAGTAAGTAGTAGTAAATGCATCTGAGCTCTTGGGTTTGTATTAAACCCGATGAGCTTGGTCTGGCATTCAGACTGTGCCTGGGGGGATGAACTATTGGCTTTTAAAGTGTGCTGGGCAAAATGGCATGGTGATGTATTAAAGCAATCAACTGTATGTGCGCGTCAGTGGGGAAAACTGCCGGCCTGTGTTTTTCAGATAAACGGACGGACCCCTGGCTGTTGGTGTATTCCCCAGTGCCGGTCTCGGTCATTTTTCTGTGTTACCTCTTCCTCATCTGGGCCGGGCCCAGGCTGATGAGGCACAGAGAGCCAGTCGATCTCCGAGTCGTGCTCATTGTCTATAACTTCTCCATGGTGTGTCTGTCTGCTTACATGTTTTACGAGGTAAGATGCCTGATGGAGAGACCCCCAGGCTGCAGACAGTTTTCTCTCTGCTCATCATGTCTGTCTGCTTTCTGCAGTAACCATTTCTTTGACAATTTACTCATGCTGAGCCCCAAATCTTAGCTTGTCACTATACCCTACCTAGACAATAGGCTTTAAGTGCTTAGAAAAGTTAAGTCTTGCTAAACTAACTTCTTGCTCTTTTTTTGAACACGTGACAACGGTAATGAACACATACCAGGAAGATGATATACAGCTTTTTTCCCCAAAAAGACATTTGTTAAATTAATTCAGTTAATTCCACACTAAAGGTTCTAATTCTCAAACTACAACTCAAGAATATGTCTGTATTTGGATTTTGAACTGGGTTAGCAAACAGAAAAGAGGGTGTGCTGATAAGGGGTGAGTACCTGTATAAGGATCACTGTTCTTCCTAGATCTAGATTGTGATATAGTGAGTAAATTAGTCTCGTTATGACATAAAATGAGAAGGATTAGCAAACACTTAACATGCAGCAAATTCATTATTTTTCTGAAATTCAAAAAGACAGTTGAATTCAATACTGGACAAACACCTGTCAGATGACATTCAATGCAGGCAAGTGCAGTGTGTTACATGCAAGTAGTGTAAATATAAACCACAAATATGAAATTAAAAATGGAACAAGTAATAGGTTTATTCCATGCTGAAAAAAAGAAGAGAGAAAACGCAACGTTTCGGCCGTGGAGCCTTCTTCAGGTGTGCTTAAAATTTAAAATACTGAACTTAAAGAAGTGACTTATGAAAAAGACAGGTGTTTGAGTATGTAGAAGTAATGTTGAGATATATATATATAGTTAAGAGTATATAATTTAAATAAATCAATGTTGCTGGTTATTAAAACGGTATAATGCACTAGAAAAACTTCAGGATTGTGTACAATTATGATAAAGATAGAGAGAAGACTACATAACTCAGGACTTCTTTACACAAAGAGTTCTGGAATCTGGAACAAGATACCCAGTCACCTTCTCAAAGTCAAAACCATCACTTCTTTCAAGATCCTGTTAAATGAGATCTCTGGATCAATGATCTTGAATGCTTGTTCGCAGACTTCATTGTGTTTCTTAATACACTGTATACTGGCTTCAGAGACCTCAGTACTATCAAGAAAGAATCTTTGTGTACATTTACTTCAACGTTGTAATAGAAGATTGTTTTTTTTTTCAGCAGATGAAATGTGCTTTCTGTTTTACCTGTTATCTGGGGTAGATTGTATAATAATAATAGGTGGCACGCGTATTGTTTTTATGATGTTTATCAAACCATATTTTGTCTTTAAATGCCTAGGTTTTACTGAAGGAGCCTGAGTAATGAGGTAGTACAATCAGAACAGAAGGTTTTAAAGCAGAATGCCCGTGTCTTGCTGGGATAAAATCGAGTACGGTTAAGTTCCCGAGACAGAAACTGAATACTATGATGTAACAGAAAAAAAAACCCAAAACTCGTCTATTTCCGGTAACTTTACAAAGGGTTCCTGAAAGGGTTTGGTTTGTCTAACTGTATGAATTCACTGTGTTCTTGTTTTTCTAGTTTTTCATCTCCTCCTATCTTGCAAGCTACAGCTACCTCTGCCAGCCAGTGGACTACAGCACCAGTGTGCTGGGAATGCGGGTAATAGCATCTGAATTTACCAAAGAAACACTGACCACTTTCAGACCTGTCTTTAATCAAGGGCCTCTTTTATATTCCTTCAAAGAAGAGCTGGCTAGGACCATCATGTTTTTGATGTTCTGGTGCGTAGAACACAAGGGCTACGTTTCTATTCAAAGCTTTGCGAATTGTCCCTTACCGGTCAGTTAAACAGAAGGAATACTCTCTTTCTCTGGCAGATGGCGAGAGTATGCTGGTGGTTCTTTTTTTCCAAAGTCATAGAGCTCCTGGACACGGTAAGGTCACTCGGTCTGATGACACTCCCCACTGCATAAAATCATCTGTGGAACTTCAGTGCCATTTAAAAAAACACACACACACACTCAATCCCTGATTTCAGGTGTTCTTCATACTGCGAAAGAAGAACAGCCAGCTCACCTTCCTGCACGTGTATCACCATGGTACCATGATCTTCAACTGGTGGGCAGGAGTCAAGTATGTGGCTGGTGGCCAATGTAAGTATTCTTGCTTTCTTTGGTACTGATTCAGCTGGGCTCTTGGTTAGAGTATCTTGTCTGTCTCTCTCCTAGATGGAACCCTTTAGAATTAGTCCCTGTAGCTCAAGGATCTCCATCCCTGGTCCTGGAGTGCCCCTGTTTGGCAGGTGTTGTAGGCTACCGTTAACTTGCCACTTTCTAAAGATATGGAACACTTTCATTCTGATCACCTAAACAGGCGATGTGTTAAGTAATTCGGAGATCATGTAGAGATCACCCCTTCTTTCCCTGAGGATCGGAGATCTCTTAATTGAACGGATTAGTTGCTTCAATTCATCAAAAGCTCCCAGGTGTTTAAAAACGGAGGACCTGTAATACTAACTGGACTGGGGCTCTTCAAGACCAGGAGAGCTCTGCTCTAGATGGTTCCGCCTCCCGGCAGCGTGAATGCACAGGAACAAACTAGGATTCATTTCCGTAATTCTTTCTATCTAGGAATGAACACCCATTCAGGTCAGGGTGAGATTTAAGGGCAGCCTTCATCAGAACTTATGGGTCTTAATATTAATTAGCACTTTTGCCACCTCCTATTGCATTGTTATTGGATAAAAATGTAATTCACCTCTATTCTTATAGTTCATTACGACTGCATTCTTGTCATTTATATAATAGTGTCGGCCGTGTTAAAGGATGTATGAATAGTGTCAGGAATTCTCAAAGTCATTTATTGTCAGCAGCTGTATGTTACTTTTCCAAAACGCCGAACTGAAGGCGTCTATTTTAAGCGGCAATATAGTATGTTGTGTCGGGATGCCTTTAGGCTCACGAGTCATGCGTGTGAAATTGCAGTGTACACGTTTTCAAGGACGTCGAAAAACGGAGCACTCATGAGCTGCCCCCAGCACCTTCCGAACTGGGTGCGGTGAGACTGGGTGACCCCACGGGCCACGTGGAGATGACTGACCTTCACATAGTTTAGAGCCAGACTGCCTCAAAGTGCCTTCCTTTTCTCTGTAATTGGCATTTTGTCTTGTTTTGTTGCTCCCAGCGTTTTTCATAGGCATGGCCAACACATTTGTGCACGTTGTGATGTACACGTACTACGGCCTAGCAGCCTGTGGGCCACGCGTGCAGAGATTCCTGTGGTGGAAGCGCTACCTCACTAGCCTGCAGCTGGTGAGTGTCCCCAAGTCCCTCTCGCCTCGGCCTAGTTTTGGCCCGCGCCACTGAGGTCTGTGGGTCTTTTTGCTTTGCCAGTGCTCAGCTGTCTTTTTCCCGGAAACCTAGTCCCGATTCTGCTCAGTGCTGCCCTTCGAATCGCTTGTTTTTAACAGGGTTTGTGGAGCCTTGGGCAGGAACTCCCTCACAGCCATTTTCCGATGCCTGAAACTTGGCAAGCAGGCTGCTACGTTTTGCCAGCACTGAGAAAGTAGCGTCCTGAGTAGGACGTAGGTAGATAATGGAAACTTTTATAAAAATGAAGTAGCGTAAGCACTGTATTATTGTAGTGTTTTAGCTTCAGGGGCTTGTTACAGTATTTATAGGAGGCCAAAGATAAAAAAACAACGGTCAGACCCCCAGAGGTTTCCAAGATGAGACACATTACTGTGTGGGGAGAGGAGAGTTCAGCTGGTGATGGTGGCCTGCCTGTGCTTTCAGCTCCAGTTCCTTGCAATCATCGCCCACACCGCCTACAACCTCTTCACGGACTGCGACTTCCCCGATGCCATGAACCTGGTGGTCTTCGTCTACTGCGTCACCCTCGTCTTGCTCTTCAGCAACTTTTACTACCGCAGCTACCTCGCCCAGAAGAGCAAGCACGCCTGATGCTTGTCAGCTGCTAACTGCGAAACCAATTACGTCTTCCTGCAATTTAATGCAATTGTATGAAGTACAATTAAATTGCGTATCTGATCTAATCAGGTGTGCGAAACTAAGCAAGGTTGGACTTGGTCAGTACTGGGGTGGGAGATCTTATACAGGGAACAATGTTGCCGCTGTAACTGGTGTTGGTGGACCAGTAGGTGGAGCTTTTCCCTTTGGACCAGAGCTTCCAAACCAATGCCTCAGTATAATGATAAAATAAGGGACAGTGTGCTGTAGGAGTTGCTGTTCTTGGTGTATTAACCAAGGTCCTGACAATTTCGTCATCAAAAGATAACGTGACACTATGTTGACATTTCCCCCATAATTCAAGTGGTGAAGCAAACACTGTCTGGAGCAGCCTCTGGCACACAATAGCTGCAGAATGGCCAGGTGGGGGCTGTGACACAGTGGTGGATGGAGAGGGTCTCCTCCCTATATAGAAGGTGCTCTGGGAGGGGAAAATGCTACGTAAACGCAAAGAAGAAACTGTTATTAAGAGGCTGAGTTTTCGGGGTGCTCTTCATATTCCTGGGGTTCTTGCCCAGAGGGGGGGCAGGCAGATTCACCACATCACCTACACGGCTCTGTTCCTTTCAGCCTTCAAGGACAGCCCTCCCCACCCCCACTAATCGCTGAGAGACCGCCACGCTCGGCCAGGTCCAGTAATTGAAATAAACCAGGCCGGGGCTTTTACACTGCACTTTAGTTATTTATTTAATCTCCCTTGGTGACACTTCATTTATCTTATAAATTATTGGTTTGGTTGCAGCCAATCAGTGGTGAGTGGAGGGCGGTGACGCCCACTTTAACCTTCTTTGTGGTGGAGGGAATTATAGGGACTCGGACTCCGGGCTGCTGAACAGACATCAAGAGACACCTCTGATCTTCGTGCCGATCCCTGACCTATCTGTTGTATTTTTGTTCAGTACCCGCACTCTAGATACAGTCTTGAGCAGGGCATTTCTTAGAGGAAATGGTCTGTTTTCTGTGGCCTGGTAAGTAGATCTTCACAGGGTTCAGACGCATTAACGACATGCTGTTGAAGGGAACGTCAGCTAGTGACCACAGCACCCAAAGTTAAAAAAGGCGATATGAAATTTTGATCTATCCATAAGGCTTTTTTTTTTTTACTGTAGAGCTGCACCAGGTTTCTTATACAGTGTAGTTCCCTCTCTTAGTTGTCCTTACCCACCCAATCTGGGGTAGTTTGCGGTGTTTCCCTACTTTACCACACTACTTTCACAAGTTCCTAAGCCATCTCCGTGCCTCTGCAGCAAGTTCGCCCTTTAGGAATAGCGTCCTGACCTCTGTTCTGTTTGCTGAGCATGTGAACACGTTGTTTTTACTGTGCCTCTGACCAGAATATTGCAGACGCTGGCTGTCCGGTGTGCTCCTTTTGTGAATTTGATCCTGCAGGGCTCTGGCCCTGGGTCTCGCAGTAGAAAATTAATGGAGGCTGCGCATGTCTCCCTGGATTTCTCATCCTCTCTCATTGCAGCCGCCTGTCCAGCTTGGTCAATTTGTGCGTGCACCGCTACGGCAGTTCAATTTCTCAGGCAAGTCTCTTTCTAATGATAAAAATAGTCACCAAGAGGGAGAAGTTCTGCATTTGCTCCACAATTGCTGAAGGCATTTTCTATTTTCCTGATTTTCAGATTACTTATTATAATCCCATGAAATCTCCACACCAAAGACCTCAGGAATGACAAATAGAAGCTGCAATACCGTTAGCAAATGCGGGCCATCCAGATAAATGACTTTCCCTGCCTGGTATCATTTTTATTATATTGGAATGTTGCAGAGAAGTCACAGATGAATTCTATGCGGCCTCAATCAGGGTGCATTATACTGCACAATTTGCTCACCTCCATTCCAATAGCCTCTTAAATCCACTTTAATATCTGTGCTGCACAAATGAGCTGCTACTAGGCTGAGGTTTCCTGGTGGCTAAGCTGCCTACTTAAAAGCAGCAGTAACATCCTGGTCTCAGAAAGGAGCAAGGCATGAGATCTTGCATCCTGCCTGTGCCGGTTTCCACTTTGTGCGTTTCATTTGAAAGCATCACACTCCTCAATGCTTCAGACACAGCAAGCTGGTGCTTTTGACGTTAACTGTCGTGCCACTTGCACAATTAAAACCTGCTCTTCTCTTCGGTAACCTTTGGAGTCAGAAAGGAAACATCAGTGTTTCTACTAACAGCTTCCCAATCATTGGTCTCTGTTCTTCATCCCCGTTGTAAGATTTGCCCCATTTCTTCAAGAGGACAAACAGCAGACCAAGGGATTTAAACTTAGGTCTCCTGGTACTTTTGCAAGCTTTTGCTTTCTGGGCTCAAATTCCAAAGGATTGCAGAGCATTCTGGGAGGCCTCTGAGCTGGTGTCGGTTACCAGAGGCAGGTAGGGAAATTGGGAATGGCAGTCACAGGGTGGGAGCAGTCCAGAGCAGGAAGTGGCGCCCTCCAGCGATTTGCTTTAGAAGTGACACACTAGACTGCCATTCATAAGAGAGCATCTTTTGTGTGTATCTGTATAAACCCTGCAAAGTGCAATGTAACATTTTGCTCAAGCAACACTGGATTTCTACAAACCATAGAAACTGACATTTAAGCGCGGAGATTTCTTATCATGGTAGTCTTTTTCATTTTTAGCCTGTCCAGCTTTTTCAGTATTCTCAGAGGGTATATGACCCCAAAATCTTTTTTCAGGGGACCCCTTAAGAAACCTACATGCTGCGATTCAAACCCCAGAAAAGCTCTTTTATGAATTCGGTAGTTCTCCAGAGTCCCAAACCTAGTTCCAGTTGCTCCGGCAAAGCATCCAAGCTAAAATAAATCCTGCAACTTCGAATCTGCACCAGGTTAGTAAAGATGAGATTCGTCAATGACGGAATCTGTTCATGATACTTTAAGGCAGTGGTTACACGGGTGAATTTGTGATTGACATAACAGGACTCATTTGAACTGTGTGACTGTGTTCAGATTTTAAACCTACTGGAAGCAGCCCCTTAACTATTGCATTTCCTCATTAAAATCAAAAGCCAGACTCTGGAGTAAAAATAAATACTTGCAAATGTTAAAATCAAGCAGCCTATGAATTCGATTAAGGCTTCGTTGAAGTAGTTCAGCTCAGCTGGAGTGAAACCTGGCAGGTGTGTGGGTCACTAGGACCAGCATTGGGAACCCCTGCTTTAAGGGATGGAGCAATGAGTGCCTGAGAACTTTACATGCCCTCTGTTAGATATTATGGATCTTCCTGGTGTGTGAGTGGAAGTGGGAGAACAGTACCCTGGATCGGTGGATAGAAAGTCTCTGCTTTCCTAGGCTCACGGGCATTTTTTTTTTTCTTAAAGAGGGATTCCTGTTGCTCTCATTTGAAAAGCAGAACTTTTACAGGCTGCTGTTTCTGTGAGCTTCAGCAGAACCATACTGGGGAAAACTGTTGGCATACTGTATGACGTGATCTGAACAGAACGTACAGTAGCGTCTTCAAATCAGCAGCTCGGTAATTTGCCGCCATCCATAATTAAAGCCCAAAACGCCCACTAGTGGCCAGACCCATTGCGAGCGTGGCCGAAAGGTGATCATGTTCTGCTAAGCTTCTGTATAACCACATTCGGTAAATACAGCTGCGGAAAAGCTGTGCGAATCTCCTTTTTGCTGCGTTAGGAAGGAAAGCTTTTTCAATCGACTTTTAGAAAAATGAATGGTGCTACAAAGTAGCAGTACAGGACAGACAGGCTTTGCACGGTCACTAAATGGCTCAATATAATATATATATATATCTGACGTGAACCTTGTGTGTGGGAAATACATTTTAATCAAGATATGTTTTGCCTGATTTCTAGATGCGTAGTTTTTAAACGTTTGCCAGGTCAAGCAGACAAGCAGACACTCATCTCCGTGGGGTGCGTGCTATAAAATCTAGGGTGGGGGATTTTATCCAGTGCAGTCAATGTGCGCTCTCACAGTTGTCTTCACAGGGGATACTGAAATTGACGAAATCGCAGTTGGCTGGTTTGTACCCGAGTCAGCGGAGCGTCACTCGCCCGCGTCAGAACGGGTCTGGTGCAGAACAAAACGCCAACTGCGGCTGAGAGCCTTTGTAAAAGTGGTTTAATGTCGCTTTCCCTCTGAGAGGCGAGATGGAGCCCACCCTTTAATTTCACATTCGAGCTTTCTGAGCTGTTGCTGTTTACGAGGAAATAGAAGCCCCTCCGTGTTAGATCACGAAGTCAGTTGCGAAGGGTTCTGCAAAAGCAGGATTATTTCCTTACACAATTCCTGAATATGCCACAATAAGGGCAGACAAAAGCAATACTTTCATACTTGATCACCTATAATGAGCTTTTTTTTTTTAGGCACAGGCGACAACACACATCCACGAGCCTCACACCTGCCGGGCTGTTTGATTTTTAATACACAATAATAAATCTGTCTCACGGTACAATGCTTCCTCTGCGGAAGTCTGTGCACAGCTGCAGTTTTGATGGAACTCTAGACAGCCTTTTTGAACCTCGCTTGACGTAAGGAGGAAACTACATTTAGCTTCTCCCTCCATAACTCGCACAAGGGGTGTCCCCTTTCATGAACGATTAATAAAGGGAAAACGGGGTCCCCCCCCCCCAGTTGTCAGCACAAACGGGAGCACTGTTGCAAGTCCAGATAATTTTCCTGAACTATCAGTGCAAGGCGTCTGGGTTTATCGTATAATACGGTTTTAATGAAGCGCTAGATGCATGACGTCCAGGGAGCAGGTCAAAACCAACATACTGACAGTATTAGAAAAGGAGGTGCTGCTTTTATGGCAATTCTGTGGAGGAGACCTCAGCCAGGTCCAGATTCCTCCCTTAACCCCCCTCCAGTCACAGTGAAAGCCTGCCTTTATTTGGAGTGTAATTAGTAATCACTTTGCCTTTAGGAGGAGAATAACCTCTTTATCTTGGCTCTGGAAGGTTGTAATCACTGTCTGTAAGGACTTTGCTGTGGAGCAAGCTTGTAATAATAGTCCTTCACCCAGATTGGTCTTTTTCGACAAGGGGCTTGCTGATGAGTGTGAGCCGTGGCTGATGGCT